TTAACAGTGTTGGGTAGCTAGTTAAGTGGTTTATTAAAACTAAATTACAACTTGACGATTTTTACTGGGAGGGTCCCATCCAAAGAATTTGCCACAGGCCTCAGATGGTATAGTTACGCGACTGCGCTTTGCCTTTCTTCCTGTTTTCGCATTGTTAACTTATATGTCCACATGCTCCACAGCTGTAACATTTTATATGTTTGCGCTTATCATAACCTCTTTGTCCATTTCTTCTGTCATGTAACATGGCGGCAAAATCGAAATCAAATCGACATGTATAGTCACATCCACTTCGCGGAGACTTTCAACTATGGCACAACATTGATGTATCGCGAAGTTATCGCTCAGTTAAAACTGGAAACGCTCCAATTTTTTTTAAAGGCAAACCTTTCTGGTAGGACCGCTGGCATTGTGTACTGCTTTGAGCTTCTCCTTCTGTCATTTTGACGTTTTGCAACCTTTTTAACCGACTTCCAAAAAAGGAGGAGGTTATCAGTTCGTCGGAATATTTTTGTTTGTTTTTTGTTTGTTACCGCATAACGATGGACCACGTCAACCGATTTCGATAATTCTTTTTGCATCGGAAAGGTAGTGTCTCAGAGGTGGTGCCATATTAATCTGGTTTAGATCCGATCATTGGATCATGAAATATACATATATATATATATATATAGTTTTTTATGAGAACTGAAGTCGGTTTTGTTTTTTGCTTAAACATTACTTGTTTATGCAGCAGCTCCTATGCTTTGATGTTTAAAATTGCCCACAATGCCACACTGTTTATTCTGATAAATAGCGCCTTCTAAGCCGGTGAACCTTCCAGACATGTGGACTCCACCACGTGCCAAAAATCTGTGGTAATTAGGAGACTCATCACCTGGACACACTACAAAAAATTATTTTCTTCGTCTTCTTTTTCAATGGCGATATTCCATTTAATACAAACTTTTTACGAAATCACAAATTTAGCAATGACACTGCACCCATAATGCTTATTATCCGATTCGAAGAAAAACGCAAAGTTAATAGATTTAATAGAATTTTTAAAATAAAGTCATAAACAAAGCTTAAAGTACAAAGTATACAAACTGGAACTAGCGAAGACAAATATCAATGGGAAAATTATGTAGTAAGCATGAATTAGTATTGCGATAAGTAATAAGCATGCNCTTCCATATATTCTTCGGCAGTCTTTCGGACTTTAAATGCCTTGTTGTATTTTTTCCAAAATTCCTCACCACGAAAGAATTTTACATAACCAACATATCCACTTCCAATTTGTATCTGTAGACCACGCTCAATAACTTGTGAAAATGTCTCAATAGGACTATCATTTGGTGGCACTGTTAGCCATTTCACCATATTTGTGGAAAATAAATTGGCCATGTAACCTCCTAACACGATGACTAGTACGAAAATTAGGCGCCGACTCCAGAATTTGGTTCGAAAGATTGTCAGAGGTTGGCAGAATAAACCGCGCATCAGGTCCATGTTCCAAGGAGCTATCACCAACAACAAAAGGGAGCGATCACAACGTAAAGCCCTGCGTTCCATTTTTTCTTGTAGGGCATATAAAAAGCAAAGCAACCAAATAATGCCGAAGAGTGCGGTTATAACGGTGGGACGGAAAACTTTGATGAAGAATTGATATGTTTCGTGCGGTGGTTCCACCGGCAACATAGTCACCCATTGAATAAATTCAACTGGGTATATGAACTTATGTAAATTCTTTTCCATTTGCGGGCTCAATAAAGTTGAACCCACATCGATAGTACCATCGAGCAATGCTTGACGAATACTTGCTCTCTTTACACTATCTTTAGTAGACTCATTAAAATTAGTTGCCATTTGAAGAGTGAAGTTATACTTTTCAGCGAATGTTGCTATAAACAAAGCAACGTATCCGGCTATGCGAACAGCACCGTTCTTGTCTTTACGCGTAATTGAAGATGGTGGAATTTGATCCAGCAGGGTTCGTAATGCCTTTCCGCCTGCATTAGCCAACCGATTCGGATAGATGGGTGTGTCGAAGCGCATATCACGAGTTTCCAATTCGAACACCGGAAATTGGTTGAAGGAATGATAGATGTGTGTGGCAGCGAAATCGCGATGTATCAGCGCAACATTAAGAAATTTCAGTTGCTCGCAGTTTTGGAAAAATTTCACAATATCCGATTTGACAGAAGATGCGAGATCCCGGTTGTGTATAGCCAAAATGCGTCTGGTGCGAATATGCAGTAGATCCTCAGCAAATTTCAGTAGAAAATCCTTATCGGTGAGATCCTTCATGCACACTATAGCCAAGATGTAGCTATTGCCTGTTCCACGCACATAAGCCGGATGGTTCCTATCCAACTGCAGCAATGGCAGCTCGAAAATCAATGGTAACTGCTCATCTACACAATCGGCTGGATGATTCCTCAACAAAAAGTATCCAACAAATGCACTCTCCGTTTGCACTNCGATAAACCTGAACTCAAGAATATTAAAAAGAGCAAAGTCCGAAGATACATGGCTCCGCAGTTACTTCAAATTGGTTTGATTAGGTTTGATTCTGTTTGCTTTTATATGCCTTCATAATCGTTTCCTACAATCTAACCAAATTTTAGTAATGTCAGCGGCCTTTGTGGGCCACCATATCCATGATGTGGCATTTCTTAATAGCTGAGACAATATCTAATTAGTGTTACGTAGTCTATGCCAAAACAAGCGCTGTAATTAAATGTTCTGCTTTTGGAAATACGCTGTCTACTCTTTCGTTTGCCTATATGAGCGCATGTATGTACATTAGACTGTATCACTCCCCATACAAAAAAAAAACATCGGTCCCGTTTTTCCATTGAAATTATAAAATATATTATATTTTAAGACTTGCAAATAAATTTGTTGGAAAAATTTTACGATTTACGTAAGCTGGACCGATTTGAAAACACCTGCAAAAAATTATTTTTTTATTACTAAAAATAGTTTTTTTTCTTTAAGTATTTGTTGAAGAAAATCACCTCAGATGACAAAACAGTTCAATCTAAAAAATGCATAAAAATATTGAAACAATTTTTCTACGGAATCATAATAATGAGATTTATGATGCCGTTTTTTAACATTTTTCAAAGATTGGTTTAAGGAAAACTTTAATAACTCAGCCAGGCTTTATCGAGCTATGAGGTAGCATTGAAAAGGTATTTTCTTACCCTTTTTATTTCTTTGAAAATAAACTCATTCAAAGTATACAAGAGAAACCTAGGATGAACGAGCGTCATTCCAAGTTGAATTAAGATGTGTTAATATTTGAAAACAAGAAAAGTTGGCCGTGAATGAGTTCTTTTGCAAAGAAATAAAAAGAGTGACAAAATGATAGGTACATCGTAAGTCTAAATCACTATAGTTTTGGCCAAGTTAATCAAGTTTATCTTAAACCATTCTCTGAAAAAAGTTAAAAACAGAATAAAAAATCTCATTATTACAATTTCGTTGAAAGAAATTTTTTAATATTTTTATGCAGATTTTTTAAGCTTAAACTGTTTTGTGATCTGAGGGGATTTTTTTCAAAGGGGCTTTAAGAAACTATTTTTATTCACAAGAAAACTATATTTTAGGAGGTATTTCCCAATCGGTTTTTCCGAAATATTTTGTTGGACGTCTTCATATTCAACCAGATTTGTATTCCCGACGGCAAAACCGCATCTCTTTTTTTTGGTAATGCCGTCTAATGTACATTTATTATGTTTAAAGGCTTATGCCAAAATATTTCGAAAAATATGAAGATTTACGTGCGCTGGACTGTTCTAAAAAGTCTTCCTAAAATTGAGTGTTTATAAATAAAATAAGTGTTTGAAAATATTTTTTTCCTAAACATGTCGTCAGATGATAGAAAAGTTTAAGCTTAAAATGTATGCATAAAAATATTTGAACATTTTTATCAACGGAATGCAAATATTGAGGTTGATGGAGATATTTTCAAATAAGTCGCGAACTACTTCTTTAGTTCTTCAAAAGCAGAATCCTAAGTTATAGGATGACGTGCCACTTAAAATCTCTAAAAAATGGTTTTGAGAAAACGTGTAACCAGTGCGTAACTTTTTACTCAATATTGATTTTTCTTTGAGCAAAACCAATCAAAGGCAAGCAAATTGTGTATGCATGCCCGGTGTAATTTTTTTTGTTTGGGTATGTGTAAAAAATGCTCACCTCTAAAAATTATTTTAACGTTCAGTACTGGATACAGTGGGAGTAATGACGAAAAAGCTGGCCTATATTCCAAAAATTGAAAATGTAAATTGTAATTTGTCAAGAGCAAGGTCATAACTGAAATTACAATCGCTTCAACTAAAAAAGTATGTCTGGCCACACTGTATGTGGATCATACAATTACAATAAAAATAAAAAAACATTAAAAAAAATTCCTGCTCTGGGACTCGAACTTGCACTTGCATCTCTCGACTGGCACTTCAGAGCTTTGCTCTGTCGGCCATTGCGACTGTTTGAGCACCGCGAGCAAAATTACATACTTATGCCTTTCACGCCAAGTAAATTTTTCCTAACAAGAAAGAAAATAGTTCTGAAAACTAAGGAGTTGTGTTTTCCTTAAACTGAGTCAAATCGTTTACTCATATTAAGGCAGACATGTCTTTGGAGCCATTTCATGGCAATATTTCTTTAGAATAATAAACTTTCTTCCTAGCATCAAGGAATGGTTTTTCTGAGTGTACACAGGGCAACAATGCTTTTGGTGCGGCAAATATTAAAGCTGTTTTTGATAGTTTTGATTTTTTGTGCTGTTTACGAATCCGTAAATATAAGGTTTCCATCAGGTTCAGATTGTGAGAAAAGCGAAATCAAGGTGTCAAAAAATCGTGTTTTTTCACTATTTGAAAAGCTCTAACAAAGAATGAAAACTTAGACCTGAATTAAAGCTAGAACTTTCGACTACTGTCCCTGAAAATACCATCCCTGTACCTTAACCTGATGGTCACTTGCAGTCAATTATTGAACAACAAAAAAATATCGGAAAAAAAATTTGCTAAAGTTTTGCTGTTCAATAAATGATTATAAGCAGGGCCGCAAAATCTATTTAAGCTTTTCCTTGGAATTGCTTATTTTGTTTATTCAGCGTTTCCAAGCTTAATTTTAACGATCATGCTTGTTTTGCTTATTTTTATTTATAAAGCCAAGTACGGACCTTTCAAGAAAATGGGAAGGTGTCCGAGGAGGTTTGACATCTGATATTTTACAACCTGCTGTCTCATTTTTTCCTTCCTTAATAATGGCAATTTCTTTTAAAACAAGGGTGCCTTGTACTCTTCACCAACAAATTTTAGCAAACCATAGTAGAAAGCGTACCAAGTTTCTTAGCAGCTTCGTTCTGCTTAAGAAAATTTGGCTCAATAAAGTTGGACGGTTTTTTTATTCATCGAACTAAGGAAATGTTTGCAAAGAATAACACAAAACCTGGTTTGCTTTTTGTTAACTCGTAACTTCAACTGCATTTCTGCTTGGATACAAAAATTTAAAACCAATGGTTTGTCTCTACGGGAAGGCATTGGTGTTATTAAAGAAAAAAAAAAATATTAAAACAACCAGAGCAAATCTCTGAAAAGCATTAAACTGTACTTAAATTTTGTTGTTTTGCGAGCATATTTGCAAGCAATGTTTTAGTGCCTACCTAGGTACTTAAAATGAATTTTTTCTTGCTTATTTTCTTCGATTATAAGTGACCTTTGGGTCAAGATGCAGGGATCGTATTTTCAGAGACAGTATTCGAGAGTTCTAGCTTTAGTTTAAGCCTAAGTGGAAGGTTTTCCTTCGTTGATAGAGCTTCTCAAATATGTGTTATAATGTATAAAGAATGTGATATAATAACAAATAAACAGTTTTTATAAAATGCTTGCAATACATTGTCGCTCGCCTCCCCGACTAATAGCCATGATGTGGCATGTTTTTATTGGCGTGCCTAATTAGTGTTATCTAGTCTATGTAAAGCCTAACTGTGTAATATAAAATTCGGCTTTTTACATTACCTTGCCTACTTAATTGTTTGAATATGTATATTTTTAATTGGGTTATGATTTTCACAACTAATTATTTTCTTGAAATAGCGGCCGCTGTAGTCGTGTGGTTAGAGGTGTGTACTACCACTCCGTTCCACCAAGGTTCGATACCTGATCAAAGCATTATCCCAAAAAATTACAGAAAAGTTCGCAGGCAATGGAAAGCCTCCGAGTGTATTTCTGCCATGAAAGAGCTTCTAATAAAATTCATTTGCCGTTCGGAGGCGGCGTAAAACTGTAGGTCACTCCCCTTTGTGTAGCAACATCAAAGCGCCCACCACAAATCGGACGACAAGTCCGGCCAAACACTTGGAAAAAGTGTAAGCGCCAAAGTGTTCTTATAAATATTATTGTTACTTATTATTTCCTAAAATGGATTTTGTTAAAAAGGAACAATTTCACGGGGAGCCACAACCCTAACCATCTGCCGATTTGAGGTGAACATTCTTTTACAATAGATACTCTGCGAGTAGCTGCCTAACAAGGCGGCGTGTGCGAAACGGCAATTATTTTAATTTTTTGAAGTGAATACGCAGAACTTTGTCTACTTAATTTCTTGATTTTGTCTATAATTCCAAGCTGCAATTCTATTAATTTATATGTAGGTATGTATGCCGTCTCGCATTACGTCAAATGAAAAATGCTTAGAGAGTTTTGCTTCCAAGATGTCGGTGAGATAAAAATAATATACTGTACTGACGCTTGTCGAGTAGAAGAAATTGTGTATATGTTTGTGGTCTCGCATTCGTTGTATAGGCCTAATAGTGGGTTGTAACGCTAACTGAAGAGTGGCTTTATTAGGTGTGATCAACTTGCACACACGCGACAACCCAAACGTCGAGTCGTAGGTATTCAATCGTTGTGATTATCACCCTGTAGTTCCCGTGGTGACACTTGGAAACACCCTGGCGGCTAATTCGAGCGGCGACCCTCCCTCCATATTACCATAACTCATGTTTCCCTTCAGACCTTGATCCCGGAAATCTTTCCCCACCTTCTTTATTTTCGTTGAGAAAGTACGAAAATTATTACGGACTTCGACATAAGTTAGTACGGCACCGGCCCCGAAAAGGAGCAACACAAGGTATCCCACTGGATAGCCAAGGACCGAAAGGTTATTGGCATAATAGATGAAAGTTATTAAGAGGGCAGGATCACCAGAAACCCATGGAGATGGATACTTGGTGAACTGGCGATGCAAATTAAGTTTTNCTACTGAGATTAGAGGACAAAGATTTGCATACCTTTGTTAAGGCCGCTATGGGTTAAAATATTGTGATAATGCACCCACTTATAAAGTAAGCGCAGCTAATAATACGTGTTCATCATCATCGCAGGTCTCCCCACCTACGTATTCGTCGGTTACTGCTTCCAGCTCCGCGGATGCGGTGTTGACTGGCGTCAGCAGCTGTGATCGGACTTC